TCCAGCAAGGACGACGACGGTGTGTAGGTCCGAGCGACATCAATCCGATTGATGTCGGCTGTCTTGACAGCATAGTCTGGTCGTCGTGACAATGCGTCCGCGACGACGTTCAACCTTCCGGGTTTGTACTCGACTCGGAAGTTGTAGTCCGAAGAAGGACAACCATCTCGCCATTCTTTGCGAGATGTGCGGAGACTTCACCGCCGTCCGCAACGATGCGTGGTCCGTATAGACCACGAACGGGGTGTTGCCGCGTAAGTACACTCGGAACTTCGCGAGTGCATATTTCATGGCAAGGAGTTCCTTGTCATGCACCGGTAGTTTCGCTCAGCTGGCTTCAGCTGACGCGACTGGTAGTAGACGACTCGATCACGGCCCTCGTGATCGAGTTGCATTAAAGCACATCCGATCGCAAAATCGGATGCGTCACACACTACGTGAAAGGGACGATCTTGGTCGGCCACCGCCAAGATCGGCGCTTCAGTCAAGCCCAGTCCATATCCACGCAGCTTCCTTCTTCAGGGGCTGCGACAGCGGGTAAATCTTGCCTGCGTAGTTGTCCACGTACTTGCACAAGTACGTGGCAAGGCCAAGGAACTGCCGCAGTTCCTTCACGTTGGATGGCGTAGGCCATTCATTGATCACTCTGACCTTCTCGGGGTCAGGGCGTACGCCATTCTTCCCAACGAGACACCCTAGCACGGGTATCTCGCTCGCACCGAAGATGCTCTTCAGGTTCGCGTAGAGCTTGTGCTTGCGCATGAGCCCAAGCAGTGCCTGGAGTTGTTCTTTGTGCGTCTCGACGTCCGTCTTCTCGTTCACTGCCCGGCTGTGAACGTACACATCGTCGAAGTAGCTCGGTGCGAAGTCGCGCACCGAGCGCAATAGATGCGTGACGCATCTATTGAAGGTCGCAGGGGCGTTCTTCAGTCCTTGCGGCATTACTAGCCACTCCCAAAGCATACCGCTTGGGGTGCTTACCGCCGTGAGAGGGATATCGCTCTCACGCATCAGGATCTGATAGAACCCGTCTCTCAGATCAAGAGCACTGTAGATGGTGCTCTTGGACATCGAATCGATGATGACATCTTTTCGAGGTATCGGCGTCTGCGCCGGTAGCGTCGCATCGTTCAGCTTGTTGTACGCATGAACGATGCGCCAGCCACCCTGTGGCTTCTTCACACAGAACGTTGGTGCGCTTTGCGGGGACTTCGATTCCCGCACTTGTCCTGCCTTGCGACGACTTTC